TGACGCTTAGCCCATACAGCCCTGTACTATAATTAACTCTGAACACCCAAGAGTGAAAGGAAGAGGGTGGGCGAGCCCAAGGCCCCAGAATGCTAAGACAGGGTGCTTCTGATGGAAATTGGTAAGAATACATCTAGATACTGTGGGGCAGCAGCAGCCAGAGAACATTTTGATCAGATTGGGATACGACTCCATGGAGGGGGTGTGCTGGTGGGAGTGGGTGTGATGAGATAAGAGGACGGGAAAAATAAAGAGAAATTATTTCAAGAATGACTCCCACGTAACTCACTTAATCACAGCAGTGCCATTAAACGAAATGAGGAAAGACTCAGGAGGAAGAGATTTGCCAGGCTGGAAAATGGCCCCCTTAAAGATGTCCCGTCCTAATCCCCAGAATTTGTGGGTGTTACTGTACACAGTAAAGGGGTTTTGGTTAAGTATGATGAAGTGAGTATCTTCTGAGGGGAGATGATCCTGGATTATGGGGCCCAATGTAACCACAAAGGCTTCTTCCTAGAGCTAAGCAGGAGGACTGGAGTCAGAGACACTCATGAGACGATGCAGAAGATACACGGATGCAGAAGGAAGAAGAGAGGAGTGCAGACGTTTGCTTTGAAGATGAAGCAAGGGACCATGAGCCAAGGAATACCGCTGGCTTCTAGAAGCTAAGGGGCAAAAACATGGGTTCACCCTCAGGTCCGCAAGATGGAACGGAACCCTGCCCACACACCCAGAAAGCCCAGAGACACTGACCTCCAGAACTGTAGGATAATAAATCCATGTTGTTTTAAGCCACTAAATTTGTAGTTAAGTTGTTATAACAGCAATAGGAAACTAATATGGACGTTAGATTTCAGAGGCCTATCAAAGTAGATATGTTGGCTGGGCAGTCACATTCCGAAGAGAGAACAGAGGGAGAGAAATGAGAACCTGTTTGAATTATGGGCCTTCCTCTCCACACCCACCTGAACAACACACTCCACAAAAGCACTCATGCACTTTCACAAGACTTTTCCTTGAATTTCCAAGATATTCAAGAACCACCATATTCACAGAACCCCCAGGCCAATATAAGTAATGACAAAGCAGCCTGTTCTATGCTGCCTCCTTAAGAAGCAGGAAATCAGATAACTTTTCACTTGGGGGAAAAAAAAGTTAAAAAACAAACCTTTTCCTAAATTATGCTTATTAAAAGAAAATCAAAATGTCACATAAACCCTTAATCACAGAAAGTTTAAATCCATCATATGACTGTGTGTTCCTCAATGTCTCACTTCATGCTGAAGGATTTGGTCAATATACCCCTGATTCTTTCTAAAGGTTTAATATTTAAACATTGCCTATTATTTTTTAAATTAAACTTGCTTTTTAAAGTCAATGATAACAGAAAGCTGTGACTGAAACAATTGCAAAGCTTCAGAATTCAGGATTAATTTTATTTTATACTCCATAATACTAGGCTAGATTTAAAAAAAAAAGAGGAGGATAGTAGTTGGTTGATCAAAGAAATTTTGTGTCAATGAATTTTAAATAATGAAAACATTTTGGCCTTAAAAATTAAAATTACTGGAGCATCTTCAAAGGCAAGTATTTGGATTTTAGAGAAATCTCTTGTCCCCCTAGGAAGTCCATGGAGTGATTTTTAAATCTGAAACAGAGGGCTAACATAAAAGGCCTCTGAGAGACAGGACCACAAGCAAGAGGAAAATGCACTGTGGTTCACATTTTTTGTCCAGAGTCTAACCCAGACCAATGAATAACTAGTTCTGAAATGGACATAGTTTAAACTTCTAAAAACAGGTTACAGAGAAAGTAAAACTTTTCTTTTGGTGGTGCTAGGGATTGAACCCCTGGCCTTCTGCATGCCAGGCAAACACTCCACCAACTGAGCTATATACCCAGCTGAGAAAGTAAAACTAAAACCATGTTAACATAGCTTTGTATTTGTCTTGTCTTTTTCAGGGGGAGGGAGAGGATACTGGGGATTAAACCCAGGGTTACTTTAGCACTGAGCTACATTCCCAATCCCTTCCTTCCTCCTTTCCTCCTTCCTTCCTTATTTATTTATTTGAGTCAAGGTCTCACTAATTGCTGAGGGTCTCGCTATAAGTTGCCAAGGCTGGCCTCCTGCCTCAGACTCCAGAGTCTCTAGGATTACAGGTATGGACCACCATGCCCAACAACCTAGCTTTCTTTAGAGCCCAGCAGCTACCATCAGGCTTAGCCAAACCCTCCCAAGAAGGACCAATCTATTGAGCATCAGGATGGAAGCTCAATAGACTGGACTATCACAATCAGACTATCACAATCAGCTTTGCTCAACTACCTGCTACTAAATCTTTTGAGTCTTTACAAGCAAGAAATAAATACTTACCAAATATTGAGCCATAAAATAATGCTCTAGAAAAACATTTCTGGATTATATTTTTACAGACATGAAAATAAGCTCAAAAGGACAAAACTGGAAACACCCAGAAAAAATATAAAGGGAATAAACATGGCCATGTTGAGAATTTGAGCTTTAGAGGAAGCAGACAATGAAAGAGCAGCAGGTACACATGGCATGATTAGTTTGCATTTTAGAAAATTCAGTGGAGTGGTGGTCCAGGAATGGATTAGAGAAGTAAGTTAGGAGTCAGAAAATGACAAAAGATGCCCGGACCATGATGGTGGCAACGAAAATGGAGAGAAGAGGACAGGGTTGAGCTCTGCAGAAGGCAGGTTCAACAGAATCTGGTCACAGTGTGGGAGAAAGCTGTGCCTTCACCAGGTCTCTGGCTTGGTATCATTCAGTGAGACAGAGAACCAGTTAAGAGCGGGAAATAAAAGTTACAGACATCAAGACTCTGCAAAAAAGAAATCCCCAAACATATGTATTCTTACATTGAGCATTAAGTAAGCAAGTTGAAAAAACTAGAATATATTCTAAAAGCTCACTGGCCAATTTATTGGTTGTAGGCGAGTCTTAAAGAACAACACACAAGGAATTCTAAAACCAGGGTTTGCCAAGAGTTTCAAACTTCTCAAACTAGCACATCTTTAAAAGGTGGCTGTGGGAGATTGTTTAGTCAGTGATTTCACTGCTGTGACTAAAGGACTCAATCAGAAAAATTGTAAAGGAGAAAAGTTTATTCCCCAACCTCCCAGGTCTCCATCCATAGACAGCAGGCTCCATTCCTTGGGGCTCATGGTGAGGCTGAACATCACGTAATCAGGAAACAGAGAGTCTCCACTCTCCAGATACAAAATCTAAACCCTAAAGCCATGCCCTCAGTGAACCACTTCCTCTAGCCACACCCCACCAGCCTCCTTACCACCCAGTTAATCCTATCAGGGATTAATTCACTGATCAGGCTAAGGCTATATATAACCAATTATTTCTCCTCCAAACCTTCGTGCATTGTTTCACATGTGAAGTTTTGGGGGACACCTCACATCCAAACCATAACAGAGATAACACTCGCTTTTTCATTGTCTGCTTCCTCTAAAGCTCAAATTCTCAACATGGCCATGTAAAAGGGTTAACCATCCACTCAAGGTACCAAGTAACTTGCAGGGTACCTGAAGAATACTACCACCCTGAGCCACTGACAACAGGTAAGCCAAAGAAACATGGGTAGAACTGACCTACGAGACTTCTGAGCGTAAGTTTTAAATACTGGCACATGGCTTTTTTGTCCACTGCTCCTCTTCCCAGTTAGGGATTGATCCTGCAGCCAAGAAATAGCTTACCAGTTGAATAAGACACTGAGCTCTAGAAGTTGTAACCACAGCACTGATGACAAAATATGACAGCTGTCTAACAAATAAGAATATGTAATTTAGTGCTGTTTCCCTTCTTCAAGTTGAAGTTTTCTGATGATTTACTAAGAAGCAACCCAACAGAAAAAAACATAGTTGACTCTCATACTCCAAACCTAGAACCAAGAATTTTAATAACCTGAAACCTCATTGCGAAGAGTCAGCAAACTTTTACTGGAAAAGGACAGAGAGGAAGTATTTTAGACCTACTGCCAAATAGACTGTTGCAACTACTCTGCTGAGGCAGAACAAAAGTAATTATAAACATGATGTTAATGAATGAGTATGTTAATGAATGAGTATCACTGTGTTTCAATAAAACTTTATTTATAAACAGGCATGGGATGTGACCCGAGTCTAAGTCCTTCACACTGTTAGTGGAGAATATGAGAGATGAAATCAAGGCCATTTAGCTGGCCATTTAATGGGAGGCTAAGCATTTAGAATTAATGTCTTAGCTGGGCATGGTGGTCCGTTCCTGTAATCCCAGCAGCTCAGGAGGCCATGACAGGAGGATCACGAGTTCAAAGTCAGCCTCGGCAAAAGCGAGGCACTAAGCAACTCAGTGAGACCCTGTCTCTAAATTAAAAAAAAAAAAATAGAATGCATGTCTTTTGAATCCAATCCTCTAGATCAGGTTCTGTTGTGTCACAAGATGAAAATGAAACACAAAGGAAAAATAAAGCAGAGAATGCTAAGGGTAGGCTCTCATTATGTTAAACAATTTGGTTTTAAATAAGAATTTGCTTCTTGAATGATTATATAGCTTTCAGGAAAACAAGTAAATATCATAAAGCCAAACACATCAGCAAATGATAAATTAGCAGTATTTTGAAAAATGATCTTCAAAGGAAACACAATTATATACTCCATTCCTACCAACATTTCCTTGAACAGCTTATCAATCATTTCTTTTATCAACAGGACAGTATTTGCAATAATCATTACAGTAACTCATCTTAGGGGAAAATAGGTTTTTAAAAATACCATAATGAGCCACAAATACTATACTAGTCCAGCAGGCGATGATGACTTCTCATGGTGTTGTTCTGTTAGTGGGTTTGTTTTGTTTCTTGCTGGGAATCAAATTCAGGATCGCAAGTTCAAAGCCAGCCTCAGCTACTCAGCAAGACCCTGTCTCTAGATAAAATATAAAAAAGGGCTGGGAAAAGCATCTCTGAGCCTGCAGAGTAGACAATATGAGCAAAGCTCACCCTCCAGAGCTGAAAAGATTTATGGACAAGAAGTTATCATTGAAATTAAATGGTGGCAGACATGTTCAAGGAATATTGCGGGGATTTGATCCCTTCATGAATCTTGTAATAGATGAATGTGTGGAGATGGCAACTAGTGGACAACAGAACAATATTGGAATGGTGGTAATACGAGGAAACAGTATCATCATGTTAGAAGCCTTAGAACGAGTATAAATAACGGCTGTTCAGCAGAGAAATCCGTGTCCTCCCTCCAGAAGCCCTGTATAACTATGACTTGAAAATTGGGTCATGTACATTTTCATATTAAACTTTTTTAAATAAACTTCAATAGCAAAAAAAAAAGGTGGGGGGCTGAGGATGTGGCTCAGTGGTTAAGCACCCCCATCCCCTGATTCAACTGCTGGTACCAAAAATTAAAAAATAAATAAATAAACTGGCAGAAATTGACTGTTTTTAGAACTCTATAAATGAACCAAAAGTCTACAGCAATAATAAAATAATCAAGAAAAACTAGCTGGATTTTGATGAAAATAGTGAGCTTTGTGTCATTTGAAATTTCCTTGATTCCTTTCCCCTTCCCCTGCTCAGCAGTAACCTTAAAAATATCACCTGGTGCGCCAGTGGTAGAGTGCTTGCCTCGTGTGTGAGGCACTGGGTTTGATCCTCAGCACCACATATAAATAATTAAATAAAATAAAGGTCCAACAACAACTAAAAAAAAAAAACTTTATCCTGGGGCTGGGGCTGCAGCTCTTGGGTAGAGAGCTTCCCTAGCAAGCGCTGAGGCCCCAGGTTTGATCCCCAGCATCCCACACACAAGAAAGCAGAACAAACTTCATTCACAAAGAATTGTAATCATTTTCTCTGACCTGCCTGGTGGCTCCCAAGAAGTCCAGCAAAAAGACTGTACTCTCTCAGGGCTAAAGTGGAGAGCTGGAGAGTATTTGCTGAAAATATTTACCAACTAACAAATAAATACATTATTTGCTGTTACATGAGGGTAACAGTTGATAAGTAAAAGACTAATCCAAAAGGCTGGTAGGAAGGCTAGTGAGCAAAATGCTTTGGGGAATAAGAGTTTTGAAAAGTCCCCATATGTTCCTAGGAATCCAGAAGGCCAACTGCCTTCCCAGAATTGGCCCTGGCTCAGAGAAGACCTGAGAAGGCCCTTAGCTCTCACCACGATGACCACCAGGCCACCCACAGCAAGGCCACCTGCAGCAGAGCTCATCTGCAAAGATGGGAGGTTCCTTTTAGTTCTAGACATTGAAGGAAAACACTTGTCTCATCACTGGCTACCCACTAAACAAATGAAACAAACTACAGTATCACACATGACAAAGAATACAGACTTTATAAAACCAGTTTAGAAAAGTTAACAAGTAATAAATGACTATCACTATAACAAGCAGCGAAAACAAACCCTAGGAAGGGAGAACCATCTGATTTCGTCTGATTAGCCACATGTTAATGTTCAAAATGTCTGATTTTCAACAAAAATTCATGAGGTATGCAAAGAAACAAGAGGCAGTGCCCCCACAAGAAAGAAGTAATCTATATAAATTGTCCTTCTGAAAGCCCAGACACTGGACTTACTAGATAAATACTTTAAACCGGCTCTTTTAAAAATGTTCAAAGCACTAAAGACACTGTTAAATAGAATAAAAAGATAAGCTGAAGATAAACTAGAAGAAAATATTTCCAAATCCAATTCTTCATTATCTTCATTAAACATTCACTGGAATCCTATGAGGTGATCAGTACCAAATTACATTAATAAGGTTTATAAAAATCCCTGCATTCAAGGAGCAACTAAAAGATTTGTTCTAAACATTATAAGTGCTCGTCATTCTATTCAACAGTAATGACAATATAATTCAGGTTTGACACTAAACGTTCAGTATCACTGCACCCTTCCTGGAGACGCTGTCACATGCGATGTTAGCGACACTGGACTGATAACTCACATTTATGCCCTACATCCCACGCGTCACTAACCTGGGGAACTGGTCCTTAGAAAATTCTTTTCTTTCTTGCCCAGATTGGTCTGTGATTCCTAGGTTCAAGAGATGCCCCCACCTCAGGCTCCCAAGCAGCTGCAACTACAGGTGTGTGCCACCTCAGAAATACATCCACGCTCCCGCACAATTCGGGGCATTTAAAAAATGGAGGCTGCTGCAATCAATCTTAATGACCACTCTTCCCAGTGTCTCCCTCCTTATGTAAAAACTGGCGGCTTTTTTTTTTTTTTTTTTGGCTAAATATCCAAATACACATTTCAACTTTATCTTTATTTATTTATTTATTTTTATGTGGTGCTAAGGATCAAACCCAGGGCCTCTCAGATGCCAGGCGAGGACTCTACCGCTGAGCCACAACCTCAGCCCCACATTTCAACTTTAAAATGCAATTTCGGGCTGGGGATGTGGCTCAAGTGGTGACATGCTCGTCTGGCATGCGTGGTGCACTGGGTTCGATCCTCATCACCACATAAAAATAAAATAAAGATGTTGTGTCCACCGAAAACTGAAAAATAAATATAAAATAATAAAATAAAATGCAATTCCACGGAGACTCAAGGGGGAAGAGCCTCTGTGCCTGTACTACTGGGGCTGTTGGAAGGGGAGTTGGGGAACCCGTGCAGTGGGCTGCGCCCACCCCATCCTTCCCTGCAGCGCCTGCCACCCTGGCATGCGGTGGCTGGGAAAGAGCCTGAGCTCAGGAGTTGAGGCCCCATGGAGCTGCTTTGCAGTCGCAGGCAAGAACATCTCCAAGGGAAGCTGTTGCAAAGGATCCAAGCGCTGGACTTGACATTCACCTAGTACCAGGCAGCCCCAAACCCAGCACGTCTGTATTGATGGCACCAAGTGGCAAACATCTAAAACCTTTGGAACTCACATAAAAGTAAAATGTTAAGTACTACCCTGGGAGAGCATATTCTTCCTTCTCAACAGGGTGAGCCATGGGCAGAGTAGGAATTTACTTTTCAACCTTTTGTACGTAGCATCCAGGTTAGAATAGAATGTAATCTAAGCAAAAATAAAGGCTACATTACAGTATTTTTTTAAAAAGTCAAGCCTATTCTATTTGCAGGCTAAGTATTGAAAGTACATGCCAAGAGTTGTTCTGAGCTGTGGGGATTAACAATGAACAAACTGAGTCTCTACCCCATGGAACTCACATGGCTGAAAATGTACAGGTCCTGCCTGTAGCCTGTCAACTTGACCCTCTCTCCATCCTGGGAACCCCCAGTGTAATCCAGGCCCAACACCCCATCTGACAGAACTGTAGGTACTTCTCTCACGAGGTGGCCATGTAGGTACAAGATCTGCCACCCTAGCAAAGGGACTGGGGATAGATCTGAACAGACAGCTATCTATAAGTCTGCCAGACCTCTGAAGTCAATGAGCATGAGAACCCTGCCCAAAGGGGCATCCTGTGCAGGACCATGGCTGGCCAACCTTATTTTTGGTGGGGGCGGGGGGGGGGGGCAACAGGGATTGAACTGAGGGGCACTGGACCACTGAGCCACATCCCCAGCCCTATTTTGTATTTTATTTAGAGACAGGGTCTCACTGAGTTGCTGAGCACTTGGTGAGGCTGGCTTTGAACTCAGTATCCTTCTGTCTCAACCTCCCAAGTTGCTAGGATTACAGGTGTGTGGAACCACACCCAGCCCTGGCCAACCTTCTTAGAACCTTTATTCTTGGGGAGACAAACTGCAATAAAGAGAGCCAATTATTCAGGACCTTAATAAGACATGAAGGTGGACGTAATCTGACTTGATAAAAATGGTGGTGTCACTAATATTAGGAGCAAGAGAGTCAATCCAACTGACAAAAGAATGTTCCCTAGTGTAGCTACATGCTGCCAGTTCCCTAGACTTACTCTTATGTCCAAATAACTTCTGAAACTACATCCTGTGTCTTTCTACTCCCTGTGTTTCCTTACAATAAGTCTCCATCAGCTGAGGCCAGCAGAACAGGCCTCTATTTCTTGCAAGCTAAAAGTATATAACTAACATATGCTGTGTGAATTTTAGTTACTTCAGTGACAGTTCACTACACCATTCATCATGTGAAGCCTGGAGACTATACAATAGCAGGGATGGAATAAAATCCATGTATAAAATTCATAATGGGACTCAAGTTTCTGCACAGCAAAATAATCAATAATGAAATGAAAAGGAAATAATCAAATGAAAAGGAAACCCATGAATCTGGAGAAAATATTTGCAAACCATATAAGAGATTAATATCTGGTAAGAGATTAATATCCAAAAAAGAAAAGAATTCATAACAGCAAAAAAAAAAAAAAAAAAAAAACTAGATCTTAAAATGGGCAAGGGAGCTGAACAGACGTTTTTCCAAAGAAGACACATAAATGGCCAACAGGTCTATGGAAAGATTTTCAACATCATTCACTAGTCATTAGGTTTTGCAAATCAAAACCTCAGTGAGATATCATCTCTCACACCTGTTAGGATCAAAAGTCAAAAGATAAGTGTTAACAAAGATATGGAAAAAAAAAGAAAACGCTTACATGTTCTTGGTATAAGGTGGGTATGTAAACTGGGTTTGATTCCAGCACCACAAAAAAAAAAAAAAAAAAAAGGTAACTAAGTGAGATGTAGATATATTAATTAGCTTGATTGCAATAGTAATCTCACAATGTCTTAAGTATGTGAAAACACTGTACACCTGGAATACATACAACTTTTATTTATCAATCATACTTCACTAAGGCTAATAAAGGAAAAAAATGCATGGTTAATTCTGTTTATTCTGTTTGACTAAAGGCATCACAACATGAATTACTTATGATGGGAAAATGTAGCCATCCAAATGATAAGAAATTACATTGAAATCACTCACCATCATATTCTTCAATTAGACTCAACAATTCTCACCTCCCACAGACTTCAAAAAAATCCAGTTCTTACCAAGTATTCTGGAAGTAATTAATCAGGCAATCTGAGTATAGGATCATGAACTTATGTCTTTTTGAAGCATCCCAGTTGATTCTCATGTCCCGTCAGAATTGAGAATCCTGGTCCTATGGGCTTATTACTCAAAGTGTGGTCCAGGGTCCACGAACAGCAGCATCACCTAGAGCTTGTTAGAAATGCAAAATCTCTCTGCTCAATGCAAAAAGAACCTAATACTTCTAGCTACTTGGAAGGCTGAGGCAGGAAGATGGCTTGAGCACAGGAATTCAAGATTAGCCTGAGCAACACAGAGAAACACTGCCCAC